TTTTAAAGTCAAATATTTTTCGCTAGCTCATTAGTAATTAATGAATTGCAGGAAACTTTTATCTTCAAATTAATGAGTGATATGTTACTATCATATAGATTACGATGAAAGCTTAAGGTCTTTTGGCTTTGATAGAAACCAGTTTTTATCTGTTCAGTTAGTCCATAATATATATAAGTACATAAAGGTAATCGGATGCAAGAGAAACTAATGTCATATTGATTTAACCACATAATTGTCGAGTATTAGTTAAAATTCGAAGAAGAATTCTGAAAACAAAAACAAAAATAATATTTTTTAAATTATAAATAAAATCATTTCGAAATACTAACCCACTAAAAGTTTCATATCGTGTTTCATTAACTGATGATAAAATATCATTCTATCGTATCGTGTTAATATAGCATCTTCAGTTAAATTTTAATACAAGACATCGAAATATTCTAATTATATTGATTTGTAGATTGACAATTGACATTCTAAAAACAAATTTAAACTATAGGAAAATTTTATAAATAAAAACAACGAACATTTCTATTTACTAATGCTCGAAAAGCAATAACAAATGGATCAATTGATTGTAATTCAATTGATGACATGACACAACATCAAATAGTGTTAATTGTGTAGAATAAATATCCAAAAATGATTGATCCTATTGGAATAAAAAAAAGTAACGTAAAATCAGAGACTATTAAAAGAAAAATAACATGAGATAAACCAATAGTAACATGTGATTGTAAATGATTCGTAATCATATTTATTCGGTGAATCTTGATTGGAATCTGTTTAGATTGTTGCTAATCATTTCAAAATTTTATATACAAAATATAAGTTAGTTTGATTTTTCAATATTTAAATGAATACTATTTCAAGGACCAGTTTATATAAGGAACTTTTTTTAAAAAAAGTCTCCATCTAAGCGCGCCATCTATACTATAAACTTTCTTCCTTAATTTACACAATAACAATAACCAATAGAAAATATCTCTGTTTGCAGAGGTTTAACCAGTATTTTCCATTTGTGATTCATCTCGAACCAATTATTTAAGCATGTAAGGGCGAGCGAAGCAAAGGAATAAATACAGAACAGAGCAATTCATTTCAGTTGAATTTCGCATAACATCTATATAGTCTAGTCTCTTGTTTGTAGATCGATTATTTATCTTCTCTTGTATTTAACCAAATTTTTTTTGTGTTGTTTATTATTCCTATTCATATCGATCTGTGTTTAAATAATGTACATATTAAAAATAACAAAAGAATGAAGGACATTGATATCTATATATATGAATTATTGTTATGATTTATTAAATATGATAGTTAAACAAAAATATTCGATTTGATTGTATTCTTTTTGCCTTCTTTTTTTTGTTTATTAAATTATTTGAACAAAAAAAAAAAAAAACTTAACACAAATAAAATTAATACTCAATGCAAAGTGATTCGTCGTCTCTTGAAACGCTCAAAGATAGTTTATTGAGCGCTGTTGATGCTGATTACAATGTAAATGTTCTTTTATTTTATTTTTTGTAAATAAATTAAAAATCATTTTCTTTAGGTTACAAATCCAGAATTAGTCCTGGATATTATTTCCCAATTAGAAAAAATTCAAATAACTAGAGATCAATTACAAGTTTGTTTCTTTTTTTCCTTCTAAATATATTAGTAAATATTTCTTTCATCTAGACAACTCGTCTTGGTCGAGAAATAAATACTATTCGACAAAAAATAGATGCACGAAAAAAAAGTGTTAAACCAACAACAGATTATCCTCAATCTATAATTGAAATTGCTCAACGAGCAAAAAAACTTCTACGCTCATGGCAAGGTTTACTTAATACATCACAAACTGATAGTAATAATGCTTCATTATCATCTATTCCACCACCGACAACACCATCGTTGCCATTACTTCCAACTCCTTCGACTAATGGCGAAGTTCATGAATCAAAATCACCTCCATCAGAAAAACCTCGTTTAATACTTAAAGTTAAAATAAATCCATCAATAGCAACAAATAGTAATAATGATACTAATAATACACAAATAAAACGTAAACATGATTCAGAAATTAATGGTTTACCAACGAAACGACGAAAAGCTCATATTGAAAGACCAATAACATCACCACCGGCACCATCATCATCATCATCATCAGTGTCATCACCAGTTGGTTTAATTGAACCAAGTAATAGTTTACCAAGATTAAAAACAACTCAACAACTTCTTATGGAAATGCAAATGAATCAACCTGATGTTTTATCAACACAAACACCAACTGTTAATGCTATTTTACAAAATCAAATTATTGATGAAAGTTTACATGATAAAGGAAAAGTTGATTATTCAGCTTTACATCATGGAAGAGATACAACTAGTTCGAATGTCAAGTAATTATTGTTTTATACAATAGAAGAAAAAAAAATCATCCAAATTTTTCTTTACATACAGTCAATTAAATCTCCCCCCCTCCCCACCTTTCTCACTATTATAGGTTACTTTTAAATATGGGTTTCATTACGTCGTATGACATACTAATCATAAATAACAAATATGATTTAGAGAACAAGTGACACTCAATTTTTTTTTTTTGTTACTACAATATTCAGTAAGAAGAAATCGTATTATTGTCTTTGTCTTTATTTTTCTACGTATGAATGCATATAACTTTAATTATTGCTCACGTATTCAAAAACACTTTATCTAAACAAATACTCACACGATAATTGAAGTTATATATGTGTGTTCATACATAGAAAAATAAAGGAAAGACAAAAAACATGATTTCTTATTATTGAACATTGTAGATATGAACGAGAGAGATAATTCAGATCTTGTTCATGTTTAGTATTTTATATAGACTCTTTCTTTTTTGGTCTGATGTGTTTTTAGTTCTCGAAATTTTAGTTGTTATTTATGATTAATAATTTATGTGATGTAGTCAAGTCTGTACTTTCTCGCTATAGATTGATTATTGAACAACAAAAATAGTCTGCTATAGTCTTATGCAAAAATAACAGAGAGAAGAAAAAATTTCAATTGAATGACACTGTATTTGAAATAGTATAGAATAGTATTACGATTTTTTTGTTATAAGAAACCATAATTTGTCTATAAGAAAGTATATCTTGCATTATTTTATTTAATAAGAATAGATATCCGAGTAAATTTTAATAATGAAAAGTTGGAAATAATTGGTTATGAATGTGAATGAATTTCATATATCTTACTTTTTGTTTATAATTCATTTGAAGTTATTTAATTGATTTTGTCGATATTAAATTATCTATTGAATTTTAGCAAATAAATTATCGAATGGAAAATGACATTAAACGTTTTTTTTTTTCTAGAAATTTAGGATAATTTTGGTAGAACTCATATATATTTTTTAAGGAAATCAAGAGTATAAGTTTAATTCGAACTTTTTGTGGCTATTCCCCAGACTCTACCAAACAGAAATAGGAGAAGAAAAGCTAAAAAAAAATCATTGACAACGTTGCCATAGCAACAGGAAAAGGAATAACAGTGTTCAGATTATTTTGAAATTTTTTAGAATTTTCCTAAAGTATTCTATGAATCTAAGATTTCTAGCTGGTCTAAAAAATTATTTCGAGTTTCAGTATTTAATGCAGTGAAAGGATCTTATTGCAGTATCAATCAGTAGGCTGGTGATATTATTTATCTAAGATAGTCTGAATAGAGCGAAACTAGATGTATTCTGCGTTAAAACAAAACTCAATAGTAGATGCTAAAATTTCTAGCAAGAAAGGATGTTATGCACGGAAGTTTGCTGAACAAATAAATCAATATGTATAGCAGGATAATAGAGTGATTAAACCAATGAAACGAAGAATAAAATGATATTCGTTGCTTTTTATGGCATCTATCGTATATATTATCATTAGAAAAAAAGAAGTTATGTATATGACAATATATCATAAAATTATAATAACAAGAGTTTGTGAAGTTCACACTTCGGTCTCTCATGTAGTCGCATTGATCAGTTTTTCTTCATTGAAAATCATATACAATAGGAAGCTTTCTATAGAATGTTCCCGAAGTTTAATGCAAAAAAAACTATAAATTCACACCTCAGCAATTCAAAGGATTTAAATATTCTTTTTACAGGTTCATCACATATTTATCAAAGTGTTATTCAATATATTTCAGATAAAATGTTTACACATCTAATTATGTTCAAATAAAAATAGTTTTATTGATAGCCAAATTTGAGTCAGCTACTATTGTAAAACGTGAGCGACAAGTCGAATTGGGTAAAAAAATATGCCCTGTATTTGAACTACATTTCAGCAATTTCGTAAAAACTAATATTGTCGAAAATCAATCACGTCTATGAAGGTCATAGAGCAATTACTGAAGAAAAGTTAAGAATGATTGTGAAAATTATGATAGAACATTTATTATTAAAGTGATACAAAGTACAATATGATCAATAGTTCTAAGAAGAAGAGTTAAATAGATCGAATACTTGATTCAAGCTTATTTGTACAAGTGTCATTAACTTTTTCCTGTGTAATTACTCTAAGGTCTTCCAGAATATCATTGATTTTCGACACTACTGATATCACAAAATCGCTGAAATGTAGTTCTAATACATCACGTACTTTTATTGAATTCAATTTGTAGACATTTTATCTAATGCCTATTGAATTTAACCTTTAATGATTAAACTATCAACAAGAGAGATTTATATCTCGTGAATTACTGAAAAGCTATTCATGTCTTTTTTTTCTCATTTGTACTTTGGGAACATATTCAAAAACCTATAGGAGTAGCCGCAGAAATCGAAAATAAATACGATTTTGTTTTTTTTTAAATTCTAGTGCTAATTATCAAAAACAATTATCATTTGCTACCCTTCCAAATGTACTGTCCCCCAGCAATTCAACATTATCAACCGGTTCATCATCAAAACGTCCACCAGGAGGACTTGTACGACGTCCATCATCAACATTATTATCAACAAATACAAATTGGGAAAATGGTAGTAGTGCTGGTGGTTCACCTGTTTCTCCATCTTCTTCCTCTTCATCATCAATAACTAGTACAACATCTTGGCCTCTTTCTACAAACATTCCAGAACCACCATCAACTATACCTGTCATTCCAAAAAAGAAACGTCGAAGAAAACTTAATGACCCATCACTACCACCACCACCACCCATACAACAACAACAACAACAACAACAAATTGAATCATTTAATATCGAACAGTCAACACCATTATCACCTGATTTGCCAACAATATGTTCATCATATAATACAGTTGCTGAACTTGTTGAAGCTCATCGTCAACGTGTATTAGCTGAACATGATGCAAGAGAATTAGAAGCAAGACCTGATTTACTTTTGGCACCTATTGAACAACTTGCTTTTGTTTATGAACGAGAAAGGACTAAAGAATTAAAGTTACCACCCAAATCTAAACAAACATCATTGACGACAGTTGATAAACTTGACCATCCATCTGGTCTTATTGCTTTACCATTTATTGATTGTCCACTTGACTTTGATCTCGTACTTGATGAACTAGTCGTACAACAACCGACGCTGGATATGTAGATGTTTTTTTTCTTTTTTTTTTGTTCTTTCTTTCCTTTTTTTTTTTCTTTCTTTTTTTTCAAAAACTTATACACAGCAAACAAACAAAAAAACAAAACAAAAACAAAGGTGTTTCAACAGTTTTCTTTTCCTTTCTCTTCTTCCTTGTGCGCGTGTGCGTGTTTGTTTGTTTGTTTATTTATTTTTTAAAAAAAAGAGCAAAGAAGATAATTCTTGAGAGAAAAAAGAAACCCATATGTAAAAGATATTTATTGATATATGAATATTCTATTCAATTAGATTTTGATAACGAAAACAAGATAGAGAATTTTTTATTGGCATTATTAAAATATTCGATGGCAATGATTGTTTTTCATCATCATCAATGAATAGTAAATGAAAATGAATTAATAATTTAAAATATTGATCTTGTTGAAGATGATTAATTATTGATAATAATGAAGGATTTTTACTTGTAAAACTAAAAGAAATTAATATAATTAAAATATAAATTAAGTTAATTTTATTTTTATTTTTTCAACTGTGAAATTTAATTATATCATTCTTCACGGCTCAGAATGTTATTAGTCCTAGATGATCGAGTCAATAATTAAAACTTAAAAATGAAATTGAAATCCTGAATGATGTCCACAGCGATTTTGAGGATGAGGGGGTGGTAAGGTCATCAAGCTTCATTTTGTTTCCAAATCGTTATCCTACGTTTCGTGTGTCATCATGCACATCTTTTCTATACCCACGTGTTAACCTCCTCTTGTCTCTTTGTTTCTTCTCATATAAGTATGTATCTCTTATTAGGTTATAATTTGCGTCTTTTCTTCTTATGTGTAGATTATTGTATTCTGTACACATTATTTTCGCTTGATATGTACGTCATGGATACTTTTAAAATAAGGTAGACGTTAGATAATTAAACGAAAACAGTTATAAATATTGATTAGAAGTATTAGTTTAACAGTAAAATAATTGATAATTCAAAGGTGTAGATTCAAATTAATGAACACAAATTTATGAAATAAAATTTTTCGGTTTTTAAGTTTACGAGGAAATTATCTGAATCGATTCCTGCCATTTGATCTCATAATAGATCTATAAGAACATCTTGATGAGATTAGAGAAAGTTTACTCTTTTCTGATATAACTTTCAGGATATTCTATGAACAAAAGTTAAAGTTGAAAATTGATTAAAGCAATCATAACTCAGCTCGAAAGGCTCATCGGAACAAAGTCTTTTAAACGTTTGCTATATTTACCAAGGCATTGTTGTAGCCTTTATCGTAATTTCATGAATTTTCTTTTGTATAAAACTATTTTAATCAATATATAATTCATTTTTTCTCTACAAGAAACCAAAATGATTGTTGATACGTTGGTAGGAAGTTTTAAAAGTTCATAAATAAGGCCAACCTGAGACTTTTAAAAAATAGACATATTTTTATATAGATTTTCTAATTAAAATCGCATTTTTTCGACATATTAATCTATTAAGGTAGAAAGAGATCTTCTATTGTAACACGAGTAGTTTATTCAATTTTTATGCTGACTTACAAAAGACACACTATTTTTAGTGATTGAAATGTATTGAGAACAATTGATAATAAATCAACATTAACATCGATTAATTCAAGTGAACGTAATGATATATGAGGCAGAGAAGAACAGAATTTTAATATTGTATTATTTAAGCTACAGATTTTTAATTTAGATGGTAGATTTAATCGTTCATTGATATGATTTGATGACTTAATAACTAGAAAAAAGAAAACATTCAAATAAATAAAATAAAAAACTTTTTTTAACAATGAAAATATTTGATAAAAATTTTTACTTTGTAATGAAGTCAAATCTAGATAGCGAAGTGTATCCAATTGATCAAGAAAAGTTGTTAATATAGCACGATCACATGTTGAATGACGTAATATAACATTCTTCAATAGAATATAAATAGTAAATTTCTTAAATTAAACTTTAAATAAAATACTTTTAACGATTGTTTAGCAATAGAAGATAGAAGAAAATGAATATTAATACAATTTTCAAACCATATTGATTTCAAACCTTCAATGAAATAGACTAAAATAGGAGAAAATATAAAGATAAATTTTTTTTAAATTTAATATCTTAATTCATACTATTTTCTGGAAAAACTTGAATTAAATGTAAATTATGAAGAGTAAGGGATTTCAACCTATAACAACAAAAAAAAAAAACTAAATATTAAAGATGAATTTTCTTTTTGATATCAATTCAATTTAAGATAATATAAAAATTCTTAATCTTTTTATTTTGTAACTGCCGATTCTGCATTTTTTCTTGTCGTAAATAATCGACAGCCCACTCATGTAATTTAAGATCATAAAAATATATTTAACAATGAAAGTGAAAGTGTTGATCTTTTTCTTTTTGCAATAATCACTTGTAAAAGTTAATCTAGTTTTAATGTTTTCTTTTCCTATTTCATGTTATTTATATTATTTACATAAACTTCGAGTTTAATGTTCAGAACTCTACTAATAACATCATTGTATTTTGAAATCAAATTTATCTGCAAGGATTATCAACGTATAAAAGAATATCATATTGACAATACAAAATGTATTAGTTTTATTATTTATAAAAGTAAATCTGTTGTTAATGAATTAAAATTATAAGTAATATATTCTATATAATTACAGAATATCGGTATCAAAGTTGGATTAACAACGGAAGGAAGTTATTCTTAACAAAATAAATCATTTATCTAGGAGTTCGAAAATATTACACTTCGAAGTTTAATCTTTGATCGAAGATTAATCTAATGAATGTTTACTTAATCCAGTAACATTGATCAAATTTAATGAATGATAAACATAGACATTTTCTTTCAATCAATTAAACATCACAGTCAGAATAAAGAATACATTGTTATAAGTGTATCTAGTACTGATTTGCTTTTCTTTTTCTAAATGAATATAAGATCGAATCACTAATTATTTTCTCTGCTATATTATCTATTATAAGCTTGTTTTGTTTGATATTATAAAGCAGTTTTATTAATTAAAATAAAATCTAAAATCGTTTCAGCAATGCAAAAGTTTATGTTTTCAGAAAGATCTTCTATTGGTATCTAATTTTCAAAAAGCCAAAACAATTTTTTAAATTTTAATAGCTAAGAAAATAAAATTGATTTTAAGTTAAGTTTTCTGTTGTTATTATTTGCAACAAATAACTTGGGTACTACTGCAGTTTAGCCACATCCTTACATTGATTAGTACACTGGACACAGCAATCAGTGTGTGGGTGAGGGCGAGAGTGTGGCTAAAGTACAGTAGTACCTCCTCAGTATAAAAGAAAAAGAAATTGTTAATCAATATATTCATTGCATTAATTATATAACACTTACAGACAGAGCTACCAACGCCTACATCTCATTCAAAATAGCGCCACTTTCAACGTATTGTACCATGGAGTTGGCAGTCTGGTTTGAAAGAATATATATCGGCAACTCAAATAGATGCAACGTTTTTCAACTATTTATTTCTTTTTATAATGAAATTTCGTCAAAATTAGCATTTATAAGATGATCGTAACTTCGAGTACATTACAATCAAACGTAAAAAGTTAGGGTTATGAGTGTGATAGTTTGGCGTGCTCTATTAAATCTATCATCTTAAAATCAATAAAAATAATTCAATAACTAAGACTAAACACGAAAGAAAAATATTTGCTTACTCATTTGATGTTCGCTTGGTAAGGAATTTATTGCTGTAGTCGAGGATGTAGCTGTGGGAATCGGTTTTCTATTTCATTGATATGCATACAGAAAAAAAATTACATGTGATTACAGTCACTGTTTACTAGAAACATAATTTTTTTCGATATTTTTTATTTTGACCTTTCTACGACACATCAAAACAAATTTAATCAAGCATAAAAAATAAAGTTGAAAGTAGAAATTAAAAAAAAATTTAAAAGAGTTTTAAAATGTTAATATTATTGTACGATGGCTAAGAATGGGAGATGCTCTCATGTGTAATTTCTTCAAAAAGTAAATAGATAAAATCTTAAATTATGACACAATATAATAATATTTAAAACATACCATTTAAAATATGAAACAATTTAAGCAAGTGTATATACAAAGAAATAACAACAAAACAAGATGACAAGTTTTTTTTTTTTTTGCAAAGAGCTATACGTCCGATGTATTGCTCCTCCAATAGAAATCTTCTATTGTAGGTAGAGCTTTAAAATAAATCTTTTCATATACTTCCTTATTTACATCTGTTATATCTGCTGAGTATAAAAATTATCGTTACACATAGAACAATCAAATTTACATGATAGTAATAATAAATCGTGTCTTTCTCAAACCAAGTCTCTCATGAAAACCAAAATTCGAATGGATACAATTTTTTTTTTGGTTTGAAAAAAAAAACCATGTGTGTTCTTAGAGTACTTCAATATTTTGGCGTTTTTTTATTCAAAAGACAAAACTGAAAAAGATGCCCACTCTAAATCGAGCAAAGCATCCTGGAGAGATAAAGGGAAGGAACATTGAGATGCTAGTATTTCATAGAGGACAGTGTTTGTACTTGTAGTTTCCGTACTTTTTCAAGTAAAAATACAAGCCTTCAGTACGCCTGATGAGTACTTTTTATCTATACTGACACTTCAGGGCAAATAGTTACGTGCTTACACTTGAGTACATAAATTTGAACTTTGTACTTGCATTTGGAGTACGAAACAATATTTTTTTTTCTGATTTTAAGTATTTTTCTGTTGTTTTTTTTTTGAAATCTTCAGTTATTCATAATGTTAGAGTGATAAGTAAGTTCCAACTCTTCACGATAATACAAGGGAAAAGTGATGTACTTCGAATTATTTCGGTTCTTTAATTTATAATCGTATCTAAAAACAAGACTTTATCATCGAGTAGCTATTTGAAAAGATGGAATCAATCAAAAACGTATCAACAAAAAGTCTAAGTATATGTCAGTTTTGGTATGAAAATTCCCTTCGACCAATCCAAACCTACACCCATACTCTAAGCAAGGTCTAATATATATTCAACAAATCTTGTATCAACATTCCATTTTGAAATCTCCTCAATCAATATTTATAAAAAAATTCGAAAATGCAGCGAAACAATAATCTGTTCGTGTTTATAGGACATCGAATCTAAATTCACCTAGATTATTCTGAATGTCATGAAGAATTTTATTGATCTATGATAATGAATCGGATGATTATTATCATTTATGGATATCATTCATGATTTTGAAGAAAGTCGAACAATGAGAATAGATAATTTCTACTAGTGTCTCGCAGTGACTTCATCAACATATTCTTGTTTTCATGTAGCATTTAATTAGATGATGTCACAGTGGTTCTGAAAACTTTATTGAAAGTAACTAATATTATAGACAACATATATTATATTTACATATCAAGTCAAAATACAAAATAATTACTTCTTTTCGTACTTAAGTACAAGTACATTTTTTTAATTGCAAGCAAAATATTTTTACTTGATATACATGTCCTAGTTCTGCTTTGAATCTATAACAAGTTTTATTCTACTCATCAAGATATGTCTATTCTATAAATTCCATATAATGTTATCTTAATATCACAAATAATGAAATCATGTTTTGAGAATTATCGGAATATAAATTTAACAAAAAATTTTCTATATCATTCTCTCATATTTATTAATCTGTTGTTTTAAACAATAGATAATGTTACAGATGATACTGATTGAGTATTGAAAACAAACATATGAGTTAATTTCATAGTTACTAATACAAAACACATAATAGGTAAATAATGATAAATAGGTGAAGTTTCTCCCAATGGTAATAAAGTTAAACCACGTCTTTGAGCATCTCTTAAATGATGCGTTGACCAACCAAGAAAAAATATTATTGAATAATAACTATGTTGATTTCGACATAGAAAATATTCAAAACCATAAGCAACGAAAGTAATCGTTAACAAAAAAAGACTATTATGAAGAAAAGGTCGATCTTGTCGTTGACTATTTAATACGCGATTTAATGATAATGAATGTACTTCAATAAAATGATCAATATCAATAAAACAACCAGCTAAAAATGCAATAATTAATAATGAACGTTGAGTCCAACCAAATAGAAAACTTGTAGCAAAAACACTAATTAATCCGTGTGTTAGATTATCAGTTAGAGAACGAAGATAAATATTTGGAACAGTATAAATTGATAGAGGTCGACCAAAACATAAACAATCACCAACAAGACTAACAAAACATAAACCAAAAAGAGTCAATCCATTGGTTAATAGAATATGTTGTGATGAAAACATTTTACTATCTGCAACAAAAACTATCACTTCATACATATCAATTCTACATCATTATTTCTTAATTTATTATATATTAATGTTTACTAAAAATAATGATTTTTATTTAAACAGAAAATTCCAAATTAAAAATAAATCTTTTTACTATCAAAAGTTTCATCAGACGTCCGAACAAAAGTATAATGCTTGTTTGTTGCATGTATATATAGTCGAGTTAAAAACATATATCGAAATACATAAGTATTCATTTACCATTATTTGATTTTTATTTTTATTATTAATATAAATCTACTTTAGAGAATTTCTCTATTTCTAATTCCTTTATCAATGTTTATATCAATGAATACAGGTATAAAATAGTATACCAATTAAATACTCTAGTCTTCAATTATTTTGATGATTTTATATTCTGAATTTTCTCAATAACCGGTGTGTGTAAAAAGTCTTTACATAACATGTTTGATCTATTTTTCGTCTACTTACAAATCATTCGAAATCAACTACGTACCATCAAAATTCCTTTTTTCTTCTAGTTTGAGGTTAGTTAATTAAGAGCGAACCTTTGATTAAGGCCAACAATGTCGTCTATATAGAGTCTTGTGTTTTTATTTTCATCAAACTTATCTCAATCTGAACTACAAGAAAATCTTTTTATACAAGATATTCAATTTGTTTCATGTTGTTAAAATGATCTGAATCAATTGTATTTTTACATACCGAAGTTCGAAAAGTGTTTATAAATTTTAATTTTTTTTTTGAACTTTAGCTAATTGTAATGTATGATTCGGCAGAAAATGAATATGTGTAGAACACTAGAAAGTGAAAATTTTTCCAAAAATCTAATCCTGTGAAGTTCTAAATAACGTAAGTAAATCTCTTTTGCTTACGAAGGAATCACTTGAGCTCATATTAGACCTAAAAAAAAATACCTTGGTGAGACTAACAAAAGTCTTACAAACTTCTTCTCTATGTTCATTTGACTGAATCTTCAACACTACTTTACGTATATGCCGGAAAATCAAAAATTCATTGTAAAGCTTTATTCATAGGATACATCAATTGATTCGTAGAATTTCCTAAAAGTATCAGCCGACAAAGAGTGTTCTTATGTCGGGACATTGAATTTACAGAAAAACAATCGTTTGCCACAGGCATATTACAAAAGTCGAGTTTACAGACATACAAATATTCCTTTCGGCGAAAGCTTTCAATCTATGGATAAAATCTCGGATCAAAAATTCAGTAATGACTGTAACGCGGCTCCAAAAGTCCATGGAGATGAACTCTTTTCAACTTTCTTTGATCCTACTAAAGCGTTCTTGCAGCTCCAATATGGACTCAAATCACGGGTAGCCATTTGGATGTTTTCCTCATTAATGCAAACAACATTTTTGATTTATTCAAATAATTTGTTTATAACTAACCAACTCTAAGTCAATAAAAAAATTCTGAAAAAATATAGGAAATTTATTTGTCTTCGAATTTTGCTTGTATTAAATTCTGATTCTAGTTAATCACTTTTGATTCTCTTCAGTGACTTATAAATGAAGGTAAATCGGTCAAACATATTGCGCGAAAGGCTTTTACATGTAGAGTATACGAACTGAGATCAGACAGCTTTAGAGTGTACAACATATCATTAAAAAATCCATCAATTCATTCGTAACGTTTTCTTATAAAAAAAATGTAAAAATAATATCAATCATTCATACATTATCAACTTTGCTTATATTTTATAATAGTTATCTTTATCATTAAATCGAAATTATTCTCACATAATACTTTACATAAATTTATTCTTTTTCTTATATTCTCATAACTCTAACGTATTATATATATACATGTATATTCCGATAATTCTGAAAACAAATGATTTCATATTGTAAAAATAATTATTTTTGAAATAAAGTTAAAGTTACCTTTTTAATTTGAATAATAAATTAATAATATCACACATTGTATTAATTAACATAATAGCAAATGAATCAAGTTCAATAATATTATGTATAAATGAAATTTTTAAATATCTTAATTGTTCAAGTTTTAATAGAAAATGAAGTGATGGTTCAGTCGATAAACATTCATATGATAATTGTAAACGACGTATAGATTTTTTTAATAAATATTCAAGTTGTAATTGATCAAATGAACGAAGTGATTCGAAATGTACAGAATAACAACGTAAATATATTTGTTTTTTTGATTGTTCATCATTATGTTGTGATATTAATAAACGTTGTTTACGTCGTTTATTAGTTGAATTTATTAATGGTTGATTTTTTAAATAAATATTACAATGTGAATAAATACTTGTTTTAGTAAATAAATTAATATTTGATGAACAAATATTATGCAAGAATTTTGATTGAACTAAATATATAGGACATTGATCAATATCAAATATAATCGATGACCAAAAATATGTATGTTGATTAACACAAGAATAAAATAAACGTGAAACAAGACGTATTAATAATAAATCAGAGATTTCAACATACAAAAAAATATGAGCCCAAATTTCAATTGGTAATTGTGGTAATAATGAACGATTTTTCCATTCAAGATAACGTTCACGTGTTGTTGACATGACTAGATTTTAGAGATTACTATTCTAAAATAGATGTTTGAAGAAAAACAAAAAGAATTTCGAAAAATCTAAAAGAGTTCGTTTCAATGAGCCTTTACAGCCGGATGATGAATGTTGTATTGCATTTTCGATCCAATTTCAGGCATTTACTGAAAAATCCAGTAATGGTATTCTGACCGAAAATTTCACCCATGAACAGATCGAATAACCGATAGAATATTCTGAAAGTTTTAGATGATAAAAGTACTTCTTTGTCGAGATATTGAGTTTTCAATTAAACTTGATTTTTCTGGCAAACGATCAGTTTTTCACAATTGAATATCTCAACAAGGGAATATTCTTTTTACCCAAAATTTTTAGAATATGCTAAGAGTTATTGGATTTATCTATGAGCGATATTTCAAATCGAAGTACTGTTTTTTAATTTTTTGGTATATACCTAAAGTCGGGTTGAAAATTCAGTAAAATGGTCATAACTCGGCTTTAAAGATTATGGAGGCGAATCCTTTTAGACTGTTGCTCGTCCTACTAAGATGTTATTTGAGGCGCAATATGAATTTAAACAGTAGATATCAATTCGGGTAATTCTTTTGTTAGCAATCAGGTTTAAGGGTCATTGATCCAGGTTTAGCGGCTCTCACCCATTACAAACATTAGCCATTAAAGACAACAGGCGTCAGATTCTTTTCCAGGAGTTCATTAGCAATGGTAAAAGGCATTGAACAGCATTAACAACAAAAATTAGACTATTCTAGAATATTTCAAAGTCGTCTTTGATATTTGAATGACTGGAATGTGATTGTAAATATTCTGAATAATGAAGTTTTTTTCAGATAAAAATTTATATTTCATATATATCAAGGACAATGGTTAGTGACCCATCGATGATACCATAGTCGTCATATGATAAACATGAACAAAACCTGAATTAATTAAGTTATAACTTTAGGAAATAATTAATAGCAGTATTTGTGCATATGCTCACAAGAAATCAAATTGATCACGTTTTATTTTTATGTTTACGTGCCTTTTAGAACTGTAAGAATATTTTAATCTTTTTGGGTGTACGTGTACGTATGTGTATGGATGTGGGTGAAAGAAACATGCCATTCACGCATACTCGCACGCACACATAAAAGAACTAAAGGGATTGGAACAAATAATAATATTAATAGGACTAAAAGAGATTCAAAGGTGAAAAATATAAAAGTCATAGAGTAGCTTGAAGAACATAAAATTAGAACGGGATAAATTTAATTTCTTGTGGCTCCCTCTGGTTCTGATTTTATCGAGACGTACAGCAGTATGTTGAGACCTGTTATAAATAAATATAACGATTGTGTACAATAGATTTATTTAGCAGTTAAATAAATGGGCAAAATAATAGTGTGAAATTAAGAAAAACGAAAAAAAAAACGAGCGAATAGCAATACGATCAACAAAAAACGCCAGTAAAAAGTAAAAAAAAAATCCTGTTTGTAATGCAAAACTAAATAAACCGAATGGGTTCTCTTGCGACCGATTATCTTGGAGAATAACTGTAGTCTGTGAGAGATTTTCCACTTTACATATTTTATATTAGTATAACACAACTAAAGAACACAAAAAAGTTCCACATGTCAGTCTGAAAGAAGCTGTGCTAAAAAACACGGTCGCATTTTTAAATCGTGATTTTTTTCCTCGGAAGAAAAAAATCGTAGTTTTTCTTTGAAGGACAACATTAATGATTCACCTTCTCCCATGGTGAAGATGTCTAGAAAAAAAAATCTTTCTTTCCTTTCCTATGTGTGCTTATCAATTATCGCACAATCAAGGAGAAAAAAAAACAGGTACCCTGCAAGAGTAATGCAAAAAATAAAAAAAACAACGGTAGTAAAGCGAATGAAAAAATTCACATCATTTTTTCTTTAGAACTTCATCAAGAGTAATACGCATAATGGCAGCTTCATTGCATGTAGAAAAGCCTGAACAACCGGAATTAGCTAAGCATGATTCGAGTATTCTCGGTAATTAACTTTCAATTAAATTAAATAATTTTATATATGAAAAAAGCCTTTTTCTTTATAATAAAACAAAAATCTAGATTTAGCTTTTGCTATGGATTGTACTGGTTCCATGGGAAGTTATATTGAGAGTGCAACACAAAATATTCGTTCAATTGTTGAAGAAATTGTAACAAGTGAGAAAAGTGATATTCATTTAGCTCTTGTTGAATATCGAGATCATCCTCCACAAGTTTGTTTTCAAGGACTATTTATATTTTTCTTTTTATAATTTTTTCTTCATAATCATAGGAAGCTACATTTGTAACTCGTGTACATGATTTTACAAGTAAAGTTAAAGAAATGAAAGGTTGGCTTGAACAATGTGAAGCACTAGGTGGTGGTGATGCACCAGAAGCTGTGGCGGATGCATTACATGCTGTTCTTAAATTATCATGGCGTCCGGAGGCAACCAAAATTTGTATTCTTATCTCAGATGCACCACCACATGGACTTGATCCAAATGGTGATGGTTTTCCTGAAGGAGATCCTTCTGGTTTAGATCCTCTACAAACAGTACGAGAAATGGCTGAAAAGCAAATAACACTTTATTGTGTCGGAGTTGAACCGCCAATCGGTTAGTGGATTTCATTTATGATCTAAATATTACGATATATGGTTTTCACGAAGAATTTCCAATGAGAATATGCTTGTTATTTTGTGAAGCATGACCTTAAACGAATGTAGAGCATAGATGTGAAAATTTGTACTTGCTCAGCCTACAAACGATAAGAAATGTTATTGATATATCATCAAAGACCGTATATAAATAACGTCTCGTTACACTATAAGAAATACTTTCTTAGTGCATTTCTGAAGGATTAAATAAAAGATTCAGGATGTTAAAGATAATTTTAAGTCTGAGAGTTTCAACGAAAATGAATTTAATTTTCAAGTACATTCAATTACCTTGTCCTCATTTAGTAAACTGTTGTTTTTTTTTTTTTTTGAAAATTGAATATCTCTTAAAAAACATATTCGTTTTCGTTGAACCTTGCCAACCTATAGACAATATTTCAGGTCAAAACTTCATGTTTTGTTCTTAGTAAAAATTTCCTTAAAACAGTCATAATTCTTATTCAGTAGGTCATGAATCTGACACCTTTTAAGCTTGTCTTAGTCTTATATAAGTTTACTCATAGCTATAATATGAAGCTAAACGGCATATGACAGTGAGATATGCTCCCTGGTAAGAATATGTTTATATAGGAACGATAATTCAAGAAGAATTAGAAACTTTTCTTTTGACTAGGGCTCAGTGGTGAACCTAGGGGATAGAAGAGAACTCAAGTTCCCTACAAACCTTTAAGGCTTCCTAGCGAGGTTTCTGAAAGATGTAAGGAAGCTGTTGAGCATCCTAGCCTAAAACTCTGACTCCACTGTTGCCAGGATTATTTCTAAAACTAAAATGATTAAACTTTTGTTTTTAGTCCCTTATCGTGATTTTTTTATGGCAATTGCTTATTTAACTGGTGGACAATATGTACCAATGGTAAATGCAAAATTATTAGCTCAGGTTATAATTGGTGGTGTACGTGAGGAAATATCTTTAGAACGTCTTATGAAAGGTGCTGAAGAAGAGATAAGTCAAGAAATGAAAAAAGCTGAAGCTGAAGGTGTTAATGAAGACGAAATAACAACAAGAGTTAATCGTTTATTACTAGAAAAAAATCTACGTGTTAAACAAATGGATAATATAGCAGGAACAACATCATCTGCAGCTAAAGAGACCTATTCAAAATGTGCTAATATGAAGGAATTACGAAGTCAATATAAAATAGAACCACTACCAGAACCAGTTTATTCTTCTCGTATGACACGTGCAGGTGTTCGTCGTGCTGCTGCTGCTGGCTATTATGGTAGTGGAGAGAAAAAAGAAGCTGATGATGATGAAGTAGAAGAAGAAAGTTTTTCAGTACCAGCGGCAGCACCGATGGCTGAAATGCATTATAGCTTAAAAGAAGATGAAGCTGTTAGCATGGCACAAACTGAACGTATAGTACAACGAATGCGTTATAAAAAATAAATGAACTATAAACTCATTCTAATAATTTTAAAACTGTGGAAAAAAAAACTAAGACAAAAAAAAAAAACTTTATTTCAAATATATTCATTAAAATAAAAATATTTTAAATTTCAGTTTTTGAAAGTATACTTAATGGATGTATAGTTCCATTTTCTACGACGTATTTAAACCATTTCAATGGTTCATTTCCACGTAATTGACCTTGTGTACTACATTGTACTGTTTGTTCATATGTTAACCACATAGCTCCATAGCTAAAATTAATAAAGGTTGTGATTTAAATAGTCAGTAAAAACAAATGATTGGTATTTAATTACAAAATGATCTGTTTATTATATATATATATAATTAGCAGTAAAAGATTTCGATTTCACCAACGAAAAAATACAGATTTTATCAGCAGATTTTTTTTCATCTATATAAAATAGGATATGGATATGGATAGGTATTTATCGAGCGCGAATATCTCAAGTACATATTCGAGTTTAGAGTATGTAATTTGATATGTTGTTTCTCGAAGATGTCCTCTTCAAACTCGTCTTTTATTTTCATTCAGTTGAATGATAGATGTATCTTACAATGTCTTTCTTTTATAACTAATTAATATTTCTTAAAACTAAAGAAATATTCGTAGAGACAACAGTCAATCTTCATGTTAAAAACGGAACATACTTCTGTCGCTGATGTATTGAAACTGCCGTACATGCAAATAGAATGTTGAAATTATACTTATTGTAAGTATGTCTAGTATAAGAATGAGTTTCAAGTACAAACAAAGCAGTGCTATTGACGCATAGCAATTGTGAGAAAACAAAATTTAGAAAATCGATGAATCATAATATAATACATTTGAGTTTTTATACTTATCCTTTGATGTATTTGACTGTTAGTAAACTTTATTTACTGATTTTTAAACCTATTAACATTCTTGATTCTTTACTAGCTGACTGTTTCATATATTTTACTGATCGAATATTTTTGTTTTCCTTAAGAAATATAAACCGAAGCGAACTGTTAATTTTCTTTTTAATATTAACTAACCTTTCATAATCAGGTATAGCCTTTGGTTCACAATTATGTTCGTCAAATGGTTCAGCAAAATAAATAACACGAAGACGAGTTATATCAGATCGTGGTACAAATTCAATTTTTAATATACCAGTTAATCTTATTTTAACACCGGCTTCTTCTAATGTTTCACGTTCAGCTGCTTTATCAAGTTGTTCTCCAATTTCAACCCGACCACCAGGTAACCAAAAACCCTTTGAACCTGATTCTTGAACAACAAGAAAACGATTATCACTTTTACGTCGACATACAACTAATGAAAATGCATATAATGGTGCAGCTATTGATCGTTGTCGATGTTCTTCATTATGTTCTTCATGTAAATGTACAGCATAATTACGTGTTGATCGTTGACATATTTCGCATTTTGTTGAAAGGCCTTGTTCATTTGTATGATAAAGCGGTACATGAATATAAAGTTGTGAAAATGAAAATGATGACCATTTACAATATGGACATGCATATGTTGGTTTAGAACTCGATTGACCTAATGGAATTAATTGATGTAAAACAGTACGAATTTGTTTAATAGATTCTGTAACCATATTAACACCAAGTTCGGCAAATAACCATCTAAAACAAAACAAAAATGTGAATAACTATTCAGCAATTCAAGAGATTTATAAATACGTATATATATATTTACATTTTGATTACATACTCATTAGAGTTTTATTGATAGCTAACATTGAGTTAGTTATCGTTGTAAAACGAAACCTGTAAATCAAATTCGATAAAAACACATTCTGTATTAGAACTACATTTCAGCGATTTTGTGAAAGCAGTACTGTTGAAATTGATAACGTTCTGAAAGATGGTCGAGTAATTACTGAAGAAAATGTTAATGACACTTGTAAAAATGAGTCAAGATCAAATCTTTGTTCTGCGTAACTCGTCTTCATAGAACTGTTAAACAAATTGTACCTTGTTTGGTTTTTACGAGAGATATTACATCATAGTCCGATATGTTAGTGTTGGTCGTGATGAGAAAACTTGTGCAATAGATCGAAAGCTCGATCTTGGTTCATTTTTACAAGCATTCTAACCTTTTTGCCAATTATTCTACAGTCTTTGAGAGCGTTATCAGTTTTCGACAGGTTTTTGTCGAATTCGACTTGTATCTTTCGTTTTACAATGGTAATTGACTTGAATTTGGCAAACAGTAAAACTATTTTAATTCTGATTTCTTTAGATGTGTAGATATTTTATCTGAACTTATTTGAATAACATTTTAATGAATAGGTGATCAAACTGTAAAACAATATATTTAAATTCCTTGAATTGCTGACGAGTTAATCACGTTTTTTTTTTCATTCAAATTCTTAAAACGGTTACAAGAGTTCGACTCACGAGGGAACCTCTCCAGGTGTTAAATCGCTTTTCGCTCAGGACCATTGCCATTCGATAGGTCCTAGTGAGCAGTGAAAAAATCTATCTTGGTTTGGGTGCATGGATCTCTGGAACTGAGCTATTGAATTTTTAGTGAATTTTTTCTGTACGACCCCAGTTTTTCAGCAAATATATTTTTTCGAATTTTGACCTGAAACTTTGCCCACACGAAGACCTCATCTAAACTAGCTTCCATAAAAAATTTCAGAACTTTTGAACAAAGTCTCTCTGAGATATGAATTTTTCAAAAGATGTATGTTTTATACACTGTCTATGGAAAAGCGCCTATATCGTGAAAAATTTATACCTCGGAGAGACTTTGTTCAAAAGTTCTGAAGTTGTTTATGGAAGCTAGTTTAGTCGAGGTCTTTGTGTGGGCAAAGTTTCAGGTCAAAATTCGAAAAAATGTATTTGCTGGAAAACTGGGGTCCTGCAGGAAAAATTCACTAAAAATTCAATAGCTCAGTTCCAGAGGTCCATGCACCCAAACCAAGATAGACTTTTCACTGCTCACTAGGACCTATCGAATGACAATGGTCCTGAGCGAAAAGCGATTTAACACCTGGAGAGGTTCCGTCGTCAGTCACAAATTCCGGTAGCTTTTCGGTGTGGACTAAAATTGATCTCACTTACTCTTATAAAAAGCCCTATTTCTTTAATTAGTTGTTATATTTTGTAATGCTGAACAGAACTCTATAATTATATTATGATCTAAATTCATACTGCTTAACACTATAAAATCTAACAACTTTTTAAAGTAATAAGAGGCTTTTTTAATAAGATTTAATGATGTTAATTTGAGCCCATGTCGAAATTTCGACCTTCCTTCTGTTAAAGTATTGTGTAGATGATTATTCGAATAAAAATATTTAGTTTGAATATTTACCGAAAATTAGGATCAGCGCAAGCTGTATGAGAATGAATTATAATAAAAGTGTGTTTTTCATGACGACGAACGGTTTCGACTAACATTTGACCTGAATTTTCATCATTCGTACCTAATTTTGTAATAATAATTGCTAGACGAGAAGAATTTTTTGTTGATTGTACATGTTGAATAGCTTGTTGTGATGTTGTAAATGAATGAATTATAAATTCAGTAGGAAATTCAGTTTTTAATAAATTTTGTAATTCAACATATTCAACATCAGATTCTTGCGACGACCAGAGAAGAATAAGATCAAATAATGATGAAGACATCTGAAATTAGAAAATATTGATTTTGATAAAATTTAACAGTAGGTTCAATATATCGTCGCTACTCTTCGAATAGCTATTCCTATAAAAAATAAAATCTTACGAGAGAATTATTCGAATGGATATCCATTATTTGAGCTCATATTCGATTCATAAGAATGACTTAATGAGATTAGCAAAAGTCTAAAAGATTCGAAGTAAAATTTTCCCTATAAATAAAATTGACAGTTTCAGTACGAAGGTAGTGTTATTTTATCAATGTATTGAATTTTCGAGTAAACATGATTTTTGTATAATGTCGATGGCAAGCTATTCATTTTTGGAAATTTACTATTGTAAAAAAAGAAGATTCTTTTCGATACATGTTTCAACTTATCTATGGACAAAACTTTACATCGAGAATTCTGTCAAATGATTATAACTTCACTTCACAAGTCTATAGGGACAAACTCTTTTACGCATTGTGTAGTCTCATCAAGACATTCTTGCTGATCTACTATGAGCACAAATGCTGGCTATTAATTCCGATGGATTTTTCTTTGGCAATAAGAAAATATTTCTTTTTCTCATTAATATAAAAAACGAATAAATTGATATCATAATAAAAAAAATTGCTGTAAGAAAAATAATATAAAAATATTTATCGAATTTGTAGCACCATGGACATAGCATTTGTATAACAAGTAAATATTTTTTTATGTGCTCTATCAAGCCAATAACAATCATATTGATAACCACCAATGAGATTTTTTCGATTTTCATTTATTTCATTTAATTTTAAAGTAAAAAATCCTCGTAAAACTAATTGTACACGTTCTAATAATGGTAATCGTTGTTGTAATAATAATGTCCAAAATGTAGCACGCATATAATCTTCTTTATATATCAGAGTATCGATTGAGAAACGTTTTAAAGAAGGTAAAGCATTTAATAAATTTTGAAGAACACAAACATTAAATGATCGAAAATAAAAACGAAGATTAGTTACTTGATGATATGCTATTGTTGATTGTGATAATGATTCACTATCATCATTTGATATTAATGAATGACAACGAGAATCAAGTGTCATAGACAATGAATGAAGATTTGGACAATATGATAGAAGTGAGAAAAAACGATCAATATTTATGAAATTTAATGAAAGCATTTTGACATTACATAATGAAATCATTTTTGTATCATACCATTGGATTTTCTATAAGATAAAAATTAAAGACTAGGATTACTTAGTTTTCTTATTAAATCAACCTTAACTATTTAAGAATCTGTTTTGAAATTTATCGAATTACTTCAATTTTTTAGAATAATACAAATTTTGAATTCTAAGACAAAGTGAGAAAGAAATATATCAGACTTGACTAATAAGATCCATTCGTAAACTATCAACTGAAAAATCATTTATAGCAACAATTGCACGAGCACATTTCTTAGCGACCATAATTAGTCTTACTTTGACGTATTACGTGACTCCATACTACGATCGCATACGTGATCGTTTTCGAGTGTATATAAATTTCTTATATTTCACCCTAGAAGTTTAACGATATGATGCATCGACTTAAGCCCCCCCCCCCCCCCCCCCCCACAACCCCCCCCCCCCCCCGCACCACCCCGCCGGCCCCCCAGCCACCGAGCGCATGACAGGAAGGTGGTATTGGGGTGGCGAAGCGGNTTATTTTAAATCTTCATCAAATTTATTTTAACACAATACTAAAGAATTGAACTAAAAAAAAATTCTCGTTTGACAATGAATAATATCGTGTCACATTCTTATCAGAAAAATATCTAGATAATAATACAAAAGAAAAACGGAATATCACTCACAAATAAAAAAAAAACTGTCTTACACATTATACTTGTTTTTTTTCCGATTCTAACGAGGGAATGTTCTCAATTCTCTAACCGCTTTTGACTGAGTTATGAGCATTTTACTCAATTTTTGCTCACTAATTCTACTTGACTTATGTATATCGGTATAGTATTCATATATTTATCCTAAATATTAAAATCCTTTTTTTAAATTCATTAATAAAATTTTTGTTTTTACCAGGTAAGTTTTTTTAATTTAATATCATGAACTGTTCGATTAAAATAATCATCTTCCGATAAAATCAATAGAATAATTAATGACATATAAATATGATGAGAATTTCTTTCTGTAGATGTATAAATAACTTGAAGAACTGGTAATACCTTTTTGAAATAAAAACAAAAAACAAGAATGATCACATTCAAATTTAATTTCTACGCAAAGAAAAAAAATTCTTTACAATTTGATCAATATTTGTTCGTGATATAACATAAGCTTTAAAATGTTGATTACGATGAAGTAATAAATAAAGTAATAATGTACTTTGATCTGTATGTACGGTTTGACATAAAACATCATATAAACGATGATAATCAATAGAAAACCATGGTAATGGTTCAGAATCAGGTAAATTTGTTGGACTGTCTAGAAAAATGATAAAAAAAAAACTTATGATATGATTATTATTCTACTTGATCGGCTTGCCTTGTGTATCCGTAAAATGTAATAATGCCAATCGATAAGGATTACGATGTACATCATTTGTAAAATGATTACTTAGAATTAAAAGTAAATGAATACTTTGATTTGATAAATGACGATTACGAAGTTCTTTTGTTGAATCAATTGAAGTTGCTGTTGCTTCAGTAACAGTTGTTGTCGATGATGAACTCATACCAAGTGTAACTACTGACCATAGACTACCTGTTGTTAATTGAGAATAAAGTTTAACTTACAATTATATTCAAAGAAAGTTTTTTCAATGAATATGCTTGGGAGTTTACATTTTCAACTGATTCCGAATAACTTTAATTTAAACTCTATTGAAATTATTTGTAGACATTTTGAAAGTATGAAGCTGTATCATTATCCTGATATCGTCTCGTAATACATTCAGGATGTCTACAAATAATTCACATGAAGCTCGAAGGCATTTGTACTTTATCGTATATATATAGCTCATTAATGGTATTGGCAATAACGAGGCTGCGTAGCATTTTATTATTGAATAGAGTAGAAGCTTTATTTACCAATAGTCAGCGCTAAAAACTTCGATCAATGTCATAGACATAAAGAAAGTAGTCTCCTCTCAATCAATGCAAATCGATTCCGATCTTGACTCTAGGACCGTAAGTGGAATTAAAGTATCTTTACATATGATCTCAATAGCTCTACTCGAAAAAACGTTTTTTGCAATTATTTGTTCAATGATACTTTAAGATCTGAAGGACAGGAAATAGTTATGAAGATAATTGATTTTTCTTTATATTGCTGAATTCTTGGATAATCTGATTTGATTCTGTTTTAGGTTCTAATCTAATGAGTACGAAATAAGGATTTTTCATGATTCTAAATTTAATTGGTTTTTAAAATTATGTTAATTTCTCGAGTTACATATTCGCACTAATTGATGATTATCTGACGAGAGAAGTACCTTAACTATTTAATCACTTTTTTGAATTGAAGTTGTGTGCATCATGTAAACTCATATGAGGTATGTATATGTTGAAAAGAACTGAGACTCTTGACCTATTGTTCTGCAGATGTCGCATTTTTTTAGATTAATGCTGTTTAAATGTCTCATATACATCAGTAGATTCGATATTCTTATTTTAGTCGAAATTCGGAAATCAACTTTCTAATACTCTTGAGAGGACTACGGGATTTAGTAAAAAAAAAGCAGTATCTTAGCATCAATAAACCAAGGACTCGGGCCTTTTTTTCATGGTATTCATAGCTCATTATGATACGCATAGTTCTGACTCAAAAGTTATTCATCATTTGGAGGACTTTCTTCATACGAAAATTTTTTTAGATCTTCTGCGATTCAGAAGCCTAGTATACACTTCGAAGTAGCACATCACGATATGTTTTATTCAATAAGAAGATTTATACTAAAGAATATCATTTTGTTGTTCAACTATTATTAAACATCATGCTATCTTTTCAGTCTATCACATAAAGAATTGTTTTAATTTTTCTATGTTTTATTTATTCGTTAGGCAGACAGACAAAAGTAAATCGATTTTGAATTATTCTATTTGAAATAAACGTGAAACTATCTATGAACATATTATAAAACATACTTGCAACACTTTGTCCAATTTTAAATAAACCTCCACTCTCACTCTTTGATCCATCAGTTGAATCAACTGCTAAAAATGGTGGACATTCGAGTTGTTTAATAAAATGTTCTAATAAAGTTCGTGTAAATTCCGATATTAATATTGGACTAAAGAGAATAATTTATTAAAAAAAAAAAATTATTATACATACTCAAGTTTATGCATAAAAATACTATAAATCGAACTAATAAGTATAGCTTCTTTCGCACACATTTGAATACATAATAATGAAATTAATGTATTTAATACTTCCAAATGTAAACCATATGAATATGAATCAACAGGTAACATAATTGTAGTTCGAAATAATGTATCGACAAATATCGTCATTAATGATATACGTTCAGTAGAAATATCTTGTGGTAAAAAATATGGATAAAGATTTTGTTCAGAATCAATTTCAATAAAATGTTTTGTTATTAAACGAAGAATAAATAAAGCATTATATGTTTGATGTATAACAATATTACTAAAATATAGATGAAATTTTATTTGTAAATGAAAAAACATTGTCGGATTTTGTAACGAATGTTGAATCAGAATATCATATATGTTGTTTCATAGAATATTTTTCGGCTCATTGAATGATATATAAGAAATCAAACTTTAGAAAAATTATGATTTCTAACATAAATTTATACAAATTTTGTTTTTAAGCTCAATTTCTATATGTTTTTATAGATAATATCTGTTAGAACAGTAGGCATTCATTGTCAACTTGCAAGATTGTCTTCTAGAATAGCCTATTTTTCTATATGAAGGAATTGGTATATTAACAATATTCAACGATCCAATTAAAAAGTTTCATGCACCAATAATCAACACAGCATTCGTGAAGATCTGATATAAATAACTCTTGTATAACCAAAAAAAAATTCTTTTGTACTCCAGACCCCCGGAGAAAGATACGGGAAATATCGTTGCAGGAAGAAGATTCATTATTTTTTTTAATTTCTTTTTCAAATTTTTGTTTTAAGTATCCATATTTGATTTATGCATAAAACTCGACAAGAATCTTTCAATATCTCATGTTCTTTGCAAAAGTGAATTTCTTTTCTGTTCCTCAAAACTTATTAAAAATATTATCAATATAATTGCCTCTTCATATAGAAAAATAAACTATTCTAGGAGACAATCTTTACTCTACAAAACTAGATATATTGCATTCTGGTTCAACATAGGTTACCAAATCTAACGGGGTCGTATTCATTGTTTTTTTTTTCAACATACTTATTATATTCATCACGAATAACATTGGCTAAACGATTAAATACTTCAACTAATGTTCCATAATTATTTGTTTTCGGATTATTTAATACGAATTGTTGAAGATAAGTTACACATGATTCATCAATTAATTTTGAATGTGCTCTAAAATAAATAGAAATTGTTCTGTTTTTTTTTTGTGTTTTCAATTGATAAATGAAATATTTATTACGTTGTGAATGGAGATTGTATACGAAATGAGAGAAATTGATTCCAAAATGGATCATTTATTGATATAGACTCTTCACTAATGAAACGAGATAAATATTCGTTGGACTTTAGATCATTTAAGGAAGAGTATTGTGCACCCATTTTGAGATTTAAGAAATTTGCTTTAATAGAATATAGTAATGGATAAAAAAAACATCGTTGATCACACGCGATAGATGATGTATTCTTGCCAACCTAAACACCCTTTTGGTCAAATATTCATGACCAATAAGATAACCCTTCAAGACCTTCAATATATAAACATAAAATATATTGAGTTTGTCTTGGAAATATCGAAAATTATGGTTTAAGATATGACTAAAGATTTTATTTTAAGCCATATTTGAGCGTTCATTAATATAGATGGCGCCAGTAGGCGATACAGAGTAATGTAGTATATTAATTGTCGGAGAAATTCGTAGAGAAAAGAAAACACGCTCTATAAATATAGTAAACCGTCATTTTTTCTTTAGGATCTTTGTCAAGTTTTAGTTTAAAGGCAAAAATAAAATCTCGGTTGCTTGACAGAATACGAAACAATATTCAAGCAAATGTTTCCATTCCGATTAGTAAAGCTACGCTGCATATGTGCCATCGATCAGATGTCAAGAGTTAAAATAAATACATTATTGTCATTGATAATGTCCAAAAGAAAATTGATCCTCAAATGATGAAGATAATCTTAAATTGTATTCGAAAAGCCAATTTTTGTTCCATACAGTTTTCATGTCTCATTTCTTGATTTACCATATATCTTCCTTATTACAAGTTTCAGATAAATCTTCTCTATTATAGGACAGTAAAGCTCATTATATCATGATCTATTCACTTGTCTGTTGTTTTTTCCTCGTGACGTCAACGATAAAGGAATAATACATTCTTCAATGATCACGCTTCTCTTCGTATTATATACACATTAGAGTCGACCATAAAAACGAATATTCGATGTGATAGTACGTAGTTTTTATTTTCTCGCCTAGCACAAATCGCACATGACATCAATCACCCAAAATGTTCCTTTCGATGAATTTTAAATTGAGACAGGACTTCGAACTCTATTACATACAGTCAACGACATCATTGCCTCTCATGCTAAAGAGTATAATGCATTCGAATGACGTGCGTAAAGCTGTTAGAATGGTGCGCAAAAATCGAAGAGACTTCAACGTACTATTGATACTTTGCCAGATATTATGGTAGCTTTTGTTGGTGGCAATCATCAAACTGATCTTTATATTGGCGGAGGCATACAGTGAGCAGCAAATAGAATTGAGCATCGTTTTTATGAACATAGATTTTCTTAGATTTATTGCTATTAGAAGTATATTAATAAGTCTATTTTATGTTCTTCTGTAAATTAAAATGAGAGAAGCAAAACTTGCAGCAAAAATGTTAAAGTCAATCATTATTGATAATCAATTCTTCTTGTTCATGATCGGTTCAAGAAGTTTGTTGAATTGGCTCGTTATTAATTGTGCCATGCGATTTTCATTAAGTCTCCAATTGTTGATATCAGCCAAAAACTGATCTTTGACACCACTGAAGAATGACAAGCATTGGCTTTTGCCCTGAATAAGTTTGTTCGAGTTTTGAGGATCTCTGAGATACTGCGCGGTAAGAGGAAATACTATTGACATTGGGCTATTTCTAGCAAATGTAGCATTGAAACTTTTGATTACAGCTGTAACACGATCAGAATGTAGAGATAAATAGTTGCAAAGGTCTTGTCCCAATATAGAAATAGGATGAATAGTGCTAGGCAACTTTGTAGTCGAGAATGTAACCAATGGTGACACCACACTAAAAAAAGCACATAGCTAGAAACAAACATTTTATCTTTAATAGTTTGATGTTCGAGCAGTATTCAGATAACTTACCACAATAAAAGTACCGAGATAATGCATAACAACGAGAAAAGTACAAACTCCTGTTCGGCTTATTATCGATATGTAGTATTAACGGGCTATTTGCTTCTTTCTTTTATAGTAGTTTTGCGTACTTTGAATCAGTGAAAGAAAAAATTACCAATATTTCGTTAGTATTGACAACAATATTTCTTAAATGCTGTCATTATATTGCCTTTTTACAATAATTATACTTAAATGGGCATATCCGATTATCGTTTGAATAGCTTCAATAGGCAATTTTGGCGTAATTATGACTAGAATACCAAGAAGGAGACTTAACAGTTTGTGAAATTGGTCCCTTGAGAAAACTGATTTCTTCTACGTCAAACTATCATGTAAGATATTAAAAAATGGTCCCTGGTAGAAATGGTTATACAGCTCTTAATTGTGCTATGCGCAGGCTAACTGCAATAGTCAGTATATAAAGCTGCATTGATCACGATAATTAGCTC